TGTGTGTTTCGTCCTGTCGGACTCATCAGTGGCCAGACACGCCTGAAAATAAGAGACACGGTCGCATCGATGGCAGTACGCGACTCGGGGTAACCCAATGCTCTTCCACAACCATGGACTCTACGACGCTCTCGCAAGAAGGACACACTCCTTTTTGATGGTGTCCCGCAGGTCGTTCGCCTGTACAAATAGCTGCGTCCCTTAGAGCCGAGGACACAGCTGCAGCGGTGGTGTGGACATCTGCAGCATTGGGGTTAAGTGGCAAGGAAAGAGGGTTGGGCACTTGGGCCTGCTGCAGATGTGCAATTTTCTGCAGCTGGTTGCGCTACTCTTTAGCCATCTTTTCTTATGGTGTCGCGCAGGTCGTTTTCGAAACGGCCGCCTCTTTGCCTGACACGGAAGTCCAACCACCGAGGGTCAGGAACATCATCAAGGAGGTGAACTTCAATCAGTGCTCACACATAGGTGACACATTGTGGTTGGACTTCCATGTCAGGCAAAGAGGCGACCGTTTTAAAAATGGCCTCAAGGGCAGCAAGAGTTTCTGTCCTCTTGTTTCCTTTACTGCGAGCTCCTTCCTCAAGGCCTTAGAGCTGTCGGTTGCTCTGAGGTCATTGCCATTGCTATGTTAGTCCCACTGCCAAAAGAACTCTCAACGGCAGTGGGTAGACCGGAAAAGGTTCAATTAGTCTCTCAAGGTGAGGGTTCTCTCTCTTTCTTTGGACAAACACTTATTTTCCCAATCCCTACTCTTGCAAGAATGGTTCTCTCTTTTTCCCTCCTCTCTCCCGCTCTCTCTCTTTTCGAGATTGTGTTTCTATGGGCATCAAGATAAATGAAGAATCAGATAAGCACAAGACCAAAGGATAGAACTAGCAGCGATTTCATTTGGACTGGAGAATTGCTAACAAAACGGGGAAAAAAGTAATAACCGAGGTCTGATCGAACGACCCGGTCCGTTGAGATTACGCATGAGATCCGCTCTTACCTAATCTAACACAGTTCAGAAAAAAAAGCAGATGGATCAGACTTAGGAAATGATACGGATGAGGTAATGGAGATGTAAGGCAGTAGCGACCAAGTACCGAGCCTAGTGTCAGGATTTGCAGAGAACACAGTCAAGATCCACTTGAAAGTGAATGTTTAATGGTAGGGTGCCTTCACTCGCCAGCAAGTCAGAGCACTGCCTGATGCGCACTAGAAAAGGTACCAAGCAAGTTCCTTTCTCACTGGCCACGGTCCCACTGGGTACGCATGCCCCCAGGTAGGCCAGCAACTCTGGCCTCTTCCCAAAGGGGAGGAGCCTTTACTCTGGGAGGAAGGAGAACCAAGCTATGCATCCCAATTCTAGCTCTGAAGTACCAAAAAGAAAAGACAAGCACAGATGGTCCTTACTTAATTACAACCAATTTCATAATGAAAAGATAATTGAAAGCACTGCAGAAGGATAAGCTGTGCTAATCAAGATATTTGCATCCATCCATCCATCAGGTGAGAGAGCAGTCCACAAATGCGTCCATATCAGCCAAGAGCACAGAGAAGTCCAGCATACCCCCATGCACTCACCCGTAGGCGTCCCCCAGTTACACGGCACTTACCTGTGTGGCCCGAACTCTTGAGATGAAGAGTAACTCACCCGTACTCCTGACCAGATTAGCAAAGTCTAGGAAGGACTACTCTACACCAATGTACACCACTGTGTCCCACGCTGATGTTGAAGACCAATCAGCAACTTGAAGTTGTAGCGCACAGTCATGCCACTTCACCACTAAGTTCGCCTCTTGGAGAGAAGCCCAAAGCTCGCTCGATGTTTTCCCCAAGCTTAGAGTCTAGGCATGAGTCACCGCTCACTCTCTCCTCCCACAATACACCTCACACTGACAATTCCTGTGTCTCGCCACGCCATACGTCCACTCGGTCGACCTGGTCAGGGTCGACGTTAAACTTTTGTTCCATTTGTTCACATAAGACTGCTTGCACGGTTTGTTTGCAATTTGGTGCTCTGCGTGTCATCATATCATTTATACATGATTCTCCAATCATTTGCGTACTTGAACGCAAACTAGTACTACGTAATTCATGTTGTTTCAAGAACTCTGACAGCAGAGCCTCTTGAGAACCGAGTTGTTGTAATTCCGAAACAACAGATTCGCTTCTCTGCAAGCCCTGAACGAGGTGGGGGCAGGTCCCGCTTACCTCGCCACCCCACTTCTACACTAATGTACACCACTGTGTCCCACATTGATGTTGAAGACCAATCAGCAACTTGAAGTCGTAGCACGCAGTCGTGCCCCTTCACCACTAAGTTCGCCTCTTGGAGATAAGCCCAAAACTCGCTCGATGTTTTCCCCAAGCGTAGAGTCTAGGCGTGAGTCACCGCTCACTCTCTCCTCCTACAATACACCTCACACTGACAATTCCTGTGTCTCGCCATGCCATACAACCACTCGGTCGACCTGGTCAGGGTCGATGTCGATCCTGCAAGCCCTGAACAAGGTGGGGGCAGCAATGAAAGAATGAACCAGAACCAATGTACGAATCCTCCCCCTTACTGTCAGCCACTTAAGAAGTCCACCATAGCCATCTCATACACCTTCCTCCTACTTGGTCGAGCAAGTGGCTGAAGCTCCGATGTTCCAAGGACAATGCAAAGCTGATGTGTCCCTCCTACTTTGGCCGCCAAGCCTAGCGCTATCCCTGTGATACCCCACTTCTTTACTAACCAACCCTAATCCAAGATTATTTTGCCCTAATCAACTCGAATTAGGGTTAGGGCAACAAGACATCCTCTCGCTGTACTGCTCCGACACCAGTTGTTACAATCCTTGAATCCTGGCTATCTTGCAGTGGAACAACCCAAAGAAAGACAATGCCGTTCAGGTGCAACCGAAATGAAAGAACTGGAGAGAGTAGGAGACAAAGGAAGAAGAAGAAGATGAACACCAGCAAAGACCAATGTCAATCCCCCTTCTCTTGCCACCATCTGCAACCTCCAGTTACTCCCCCAGCTTCTTCTTAACAATAATAATATAATAACAACTTCTTCTTAACAATAATAATATAATAATAATAATAATAACAATGAAAGAATGAACCAGAACCATTGCACGAATCCTCCCTCTTACTGCCAGCCACTTAAGAAGTCCACCAAAGCCATCTCATACACCTTCCTCCCACTTGGTCGAGCAAGTGGCTGAAGCTCCGGTGCTCCAAGGACAATGCAAAGCTTATGTGTCCCTCCTACTTTGGCCGCCAAGCCTAGTGCTATCCCTGAAGTCTTCCTTGTAGGTGCCAAGCCCAACTGAGGCCTTTCAGGTGCAGCTCCAACCAAGATCCCACACCCCAAAGATCGACCGTGCACGTGTCAATGATCCTTCCGCAGGTTCAGGTACGGTAGCTTCTCCTTCCTATAGATGACAAGGACCAAAGGGTTCAATGAAAAGGCGGGGTGGACAAGGGGTGAGAAGAGTGTTGAGGTAAGCTTCCAGATTTCGGGGTGGCCTACCGTGCTGTTCTGAGGAGCCCCACCATTTCATGTCTACCCCTAGAGGCCACTCGCCAGAGAGACCTTGTGAAAGTAAGTAGACAATGGATCAGTGAGCAACTGTAATCGCCATCATCTTGGTCTGAGGGGCGATTACGTATGGCACTCACTCTTTCTTTTCTTTTCATTTCTTCGAGCCTCAATAGGACTAAGATAGAGTCCTTAATGCTGGCAAGGCTCTGTGTATTGTGTGCGGAGCTACCATCCCTTCTGGCAAGAAGAAATAAGAATAGAAGAAGAAGAAGAAGAAGAAGATGATGATGAACACTATCAAAGACCAATGGCAGTCCCCCTTCCCTCGCCACTATCTCTGACCTCCAATTACTTTATATGTGTGTGTCATCCTTTGCAAAGAGGCTACACTACCCTTCTTTGTAGAGCTCCAATCCCCGCCGTTCTCAGTTCCAATCAAATTGCCCCCCCACCCCTCCGAGTTCCAATCAAATTGCCTCCCTCCGAAAGTGCCAATTGAACTCCCCCCTCACTGCGCCACCCCCTTGTGAAGCGTTTATGCTGATCAAATCTTGACCATTCCAATGCTAACAGATGTTCCTCCCGACTCCCGAGGTTCATACCGTTCCAATTTTGACAGATGTTCTGAGGGACATGTCTGATTTGAAGCAACCATGGTTTGAGACAGTGGGGAGGAACCGGCATGTGAGAACACGAAGATTGGGAGCGGCCAGAACTCCTTGAAGACCATGCATTAGTACCAAACAGTCTCCCCTATCAATCTGTCACTAGCTCTCTATACAATTTCCCTGGCCTATCCTATTAAACCCTAGCCGACTACCTTCTTCGGCTGAATACAACGTATGGTCATTATTGCTGTATTTGGATTACCTGTCCGTCTAAATACAGGAATAATGAGCGTAATGTTCTGAGTGGGCGAAGAAGGTAGCTCTCACTCTATCACTCGCTCCTCTTGCCAGATGACCACTGCAGAGTCTGATCACATAGGTGCTCTCCTGCTGACCACCAGATATGTATCCGCCTGTCCCCACCGCCTTGTTTCCTCTCCCAAGTACCTCCTCCCAACCTAGGCACCCTTATCTCTGCAGTGCCCCCCCTCCTTGGCTATAGTGTGAGTGTGCCCTTAGTGGTTCTCATATGGAACATTCTGGAAGGGGGATGAGTTGAATTGAGAAGCACCTCTGACTCATAAAGCATTGCTGGATGTTGACTTCCACGTACAGTGAGAGCATTTATTGAATTGACAAGTGCCTTTTTGACTGAATCTGGCCTTCATTGTTGTCGGAGTGCATCTGGGAAAATTATTTGTGTGAGTATGCCCTAATAAAGCAAGGTGCGCGTTCGACTCTGGGGTGGATGACTGGGGTTGGGGGAAAGCCTTGCGCAGAAGGAGAAGATTGTGTCTCTCTGTGTCTGATGTTTTTGTCATTTACTATAGTATATAGAGTGATGGGTTCATTGTGGTTGATTTTGTTTGTTGCAGTTCTTCAAACCTGGACATGCAAAGAATGGATTCGGGTGGAGGCGAGGCCATCGATCAGGTGGGATAATTTCTGTGGGCCCTTTGTACAATGCACGCCACGTAAATCTTTGATCTCCTTTCCATACAGTGATTTACGTGTGGCTACTTTTTCACTGTAAGGGATTATTGAACGTCAGGACTTCTGCCAGATATTCAGTTTCCAACGTGCTCTCGTGTTTGTTTCCAATGTCCTCTCTTGTTTGTGTATGTGCAGTGCATGTTGGTCGTGTATGTGCACTTTG